TTCAATTCAATAAAATATTTATATCTTTTAATCTTCAGGTCAACTCCTAATTAGCTAATTTTTGCAAATGGAGAGAATAGATAATAGTCATTGCACCATATTTTAATGGGATATGAAAATTAAAGAATAATATTTTAATTTTTTTTAAAAAATAAATTATTTGAAAATTTTATAAAAATAAATTAGTTATTATTTGTTAATTAAAATTTTGGATAAATATACTTATTTATTATAAATAAATTGTACATAAATTTAGTAAGATAATAAAAAAATAACATAATTATAATGGACAAATAGAAAAAATAGTATTTAAATATAAATGTAGAGCATGAAAAAAACGTAAAATTTTATAATATTAAGATAAATTTATTAAAAAATTAATTAAAAACTAATGAGATAAATAGAGAAAATAATAATATAATTGTAAATAGATAAAAGTTCTACGTAAAAAAAAATAATAATAATATAATTATACACGACGAAATAGAGTACAACATTACACGACATTAAAAATACTTTTATGTCTACTTTTAGATAAGAAAATAAAATAAAATTATCCATCGCATCACCTTTTATAAACAAAAGTGAGTAGTGTAACGTATTTGGAAGCTAATATGTCCGGCGTTTAGATTACGCTTATGAGGCCCAGACCAACCGTCCTTGTGTGCAACAAGTTTAGGTATGTCATATAGTATGAGAAAATTATGCGGAATACATATCTTCACAAAGACATATGTCATCAACCAGCAGCAGGACAAAGATTCGCACAAATGGAACAAACTATGACCGAAAATTCGGAGCGAAAATGTCAATCTGTGACAGTATTATATGTATATATATCATCCGAACATAAATATATATATAATTATTTTTATATTTATCTATTTAAATTTCCAAAATAATAAAAATAATATTGTGGGTTCACTTTTTTGTCGTTAGGTTTTGTAGGTATATATCATGTTGGTTTCATGTAGTATATACTTGTTGTCTTTGTACATCTCACATTTTTACTTTCTAAAAGTATCAAAAATATCATATTTATGCTTAAGGAAATATATTAATATTTTTCTTATAGTGTCATCAATAAACGTGATGTTGTACTGTGAGCCTCCAATAGATGATACAAGAGTTGTTCTCCACAAGTTTGTATGAACCAACTCAAACTCCAACTTCTCATTTTTCAGGTCTCTCACACCATTTGAGAATGACACATTTCTCTGTTTTCCAAGAATACAGTCCTCGCATACTTCAATATCGACAGGCTTGAAACCTGACAATATTTTCTTTGAAACAAGTTCCTTTATCACTTTCTCGCTCATGTATCTGAGACGATAATATCATAAATTTGCGTCATTATTTATGGTCACGGAATCGATTCCGTCTCGCATGTTGTTTGTCATGTAAAGAACATCATCTTTAATCTTTTGAGCCATCACAATTGATCCATTGGTTATCTTCCATGATTTAGTTTCAAAATTGTCGAGTAACATGCCTCATCAAATTATCCCACGGTAATCAAATTCTGTTTCAAACCTGGGACATGTCCTACGTCATTTAATCTACGCTCGCTTCTATTCAGTATTTTGATTCGGATCTTCCCTTACGTACAATTTGAAGTGGCTTTTCACTGCATGAGTGGAATGACGCTCCTGAGTTCAAGATCCATGACTCCATTAGACTCCTGGCGGTCAGAATCAGCGTATCGGATATCTTCTCTACTAAGTTTGCCGAACTCTTATCCTTTTTCGTCGCCTTGCACTGTCATTTCAAATGCCATTTGTTGTTGCAATTCCAACATACCACCTGACTTACATTTTTCTCGTCCTTGTTCTTCGGTTTTAACTTTGACTAATCTTGATTTTGACCTCTTCTCTTCGTATCAGATTTATCCATAGTTTTGGCACTAAGGGCAGATTTAGATCTAAATTTCAGTATTCTTACCTGAATTTCTCCGGATCTTCTCGCTCAAGATTAGATCTCTGACTGCATCAAACTTCATCTTTTTCTTTCCGAAAGAAGCCGAACTCAATGCTATTATTACTAAATCCCAACTATCCGGCAAAGGCGATATCAGAATTACGACTTCGATCTCTGAATCAAATTCAAGATTTACCGACCCTAATTGCACAGTGATCAGATTGAACTAATTCAGATGCACAACAACACAAGGATATTTAAATATTTATTATTATATCAAAACGTAATACAATTTAAGAGGAAATGAAAAAAATACTTATGTTGGTGTTTTATAATCATACAAATTATAAGGATATTTTTAATGTTAAGTAAAATGGCGTAAAAGGTAAATGAGATCCTTAAAGCCGGACGGGGAGTATATTATTATTTATCTCATAAAATATAATTTCAAATTATTATTTAAATAATTTTTTTAAAAAATAATTTTAAATAAACATAAAAAATAATTAGGACTAAATTATATTTAATCAAAAATTATTTTAAAAAAGTAAGTATTAATTACATAAATATATTGATACCACCAAAATCTTTCAGCAACAAAAGTCGTTGTAGTATAGTGGTGAGTATTTCCGCCTGTCACGCGGACGACCCGGGTTCGATCCCCGGCAACGGCGCTTTTTTATTTTCATTTTATTTTTTCACGGCGGCCACGGCTGGCGAGTAGCTGTGTGCTTTTGCATCAGTCAAAATTAGGGACTCAATTCCTTCTTTATTTCCTTTTTTATTATTATTATTATTATTACTATTCCATCTATTCAATTACCGACGAAAATTTAGAAGTAATATAATTAATAAATAATTAAAAATATATTAATGAAAATAATATCCCTTTAATCGTCTATTTATTTTGATCTGTTTCATAATAAGGTAGCAATTTTTTTTTTTAATAATTGTACTATTTACCTAATATTACAAATATCATTTCAATTTACAATGTATTACACAAATGTCATTACATTTATATCATACAATAGTAATAAAGTTAGTTTAATCCTTTTACTTTTATTTCTATTCAATATAATACTAATATTTCTAAAATTTTGTGCTAAATATAAATAAATAGATAGATATGAGACAAATAAAATATTATGACGTGACTTATCCAAAATTTAAAAATCATAATATTTTAATATAAAATAGAATCAATAAAAAAAACCGATAAAAAAATTAAATTATTATTTTTTAAAATAGAAATAATATAATTATGAACGAATAAAGTTGTTTATTATAAAGAAATTGTACATAAATTTAACAAGATAAAAAAATGATATAATTATAACAGACAAAAAAGAGATAATAGTATTTAAATATAAATATAGAGAATATAGAAAGTAAAATTTTATACAGTATATGATAAATTTATTAAAAATTTAATTAAAAACTAAGTGAGATAAATAAAAAATAATAATAGTCTTTTATGCTCCAATCTAAAAGGATAATTTGTTTTTTCAATATATTAAAAAATACTAATATAAATATGGAGAACGTAGAGAGTAGTTCAGGCCGAACGCTTGAATTATTTTATGGTCTCTGGAAAAATTGCGAGACTATCTATTAAAATAAAATAATATTTTTTTCGTTCAAAATATTTGTCCGTTTTACTGTAGACACGATAATTTAAAAGGGGTATAATTAGTAAATAATAAAAAATATATTAGTGAAAATAATTATCATGTAATAAAAATAATTATAGATTAAGATTAAGATAACTAATTAGTATAATTAAAATTAAAAAAATTATAAATTAATTTTTTAAAATAAAATTAAAGTGTATAATTTTTTTTCAAAAAAAGAAAGTGACAAAATAAGTGGGACAGACGAAAATGGAAAGGTAGACATGAGAAGTGGGACGGAGGGAGTATATAATAAAGATTTTCAAAACTATTTAAAATAAGTTCGAATTTTCTAAACTAAATAAAATAGGTTTTAAATTTTCAAAATTAATATTAAAGCTTTGAAATTTTTAGATTAATTGAAGGTTCAAAATTTTTTAGACTAATAAAGGTTTAGAATTTTGAAGACTATTGAAATTAGGTTCAAAAGTTTTAAGACTAATTAAAATAGGTTCGGAAGTTTCGAGCTAATAAAAGTTCAGAATTTTAAATACTAATTAAAATAAGTTTGGAATTTCTGAGACTAATTCAAATAAGTTCAAAAGTTTTGAGACTATTAAAAGTTTGAAATTTCCGAAACAATTAAAAGTTCAAACATTTCAAGACTATTTAAAATAGATTCGGAAATTCCAAAACTATTCAATATAATAAAATATATATTTAATATTTTTTAAAAAAATCTGAAACTATTTTAAATAGTCTCAGAATTTTCGAGACAAAAAAATTAATTGATTTAATATTTATTATATATGTATTTTTTCCGTATCAGGATTTATTATGAAACAATTTTCGAGACTATTTTACAAAGTTTGGGTAGTGAATATTGTCAATTTACTTGTTTATCGTTAGGTTTTGTAGTTAATATAATTTTTCTAGCCCACTATCGTGACCACGTGACGTTTCTGTACTTCTCAAATCTCATGTAATTTATTTTTGAAAAAAAAATTAATCCCATTTTAAAATTTAAATTTATAATTTTTAAAAAATTAATTAGTTATTTTAATCTTAATTATCTATAATTATTTGTATTTCATTATAATTACTTTTACTAACACATTATTAATTTATATACTAATCATATTTTTTCTAATTAATTCCGATTTCTACAATAATTAGAACACCGTATCCGGAACTGAGGGAGTAATAACATATAATTTGGTCATAATTGTTAGAAAAGTGATCTTCTTAAATCATTAATTCATTATCTTACTCTTTTTCATAATTTGGCATAATTAAACACACCTATATTCTTGTACAATGAATCCTAGAATAATACATTGGTATGTTTGTTTAGAAGATTTTTAAATATTTTAACTATCATCGAATTTTTTTTTCTGTAAAAAATATCAAATCAAATACATATTTTTTTACTTTTTATATTATACTAAAAATTAATTTGTACATTCAAAATCTAACACCTATTTATATTACATCGTACAACTACTCAAATTCAAAAGTTTTACTATTTAAATCCCAATTTAAAATTCGAACCCCTAAACAAACACACCCATATGAATTCTTTCTAATCTAACAAATACTCATAAATTAAACATTCACAATCTACACTTATAATATTGCACAAATTGAAAGAAGTTTGATTCATTACATTCCTAAAACTTATGAATAGAATTTATAACCTTTTGCATCAATTATAACCTTTCTTAGTCCTCCCATAGCCGCGACAATCATCAATGCGACACCGAGGACTATGCAAACCTGATGCCGATCGAAAAACATGAATTAATCAAAGACGCAAAGTTAACTTTATATATAAGGTGAGCACGGTAAATTTTTATCACGCCGCTTTTATAAAATATATATATTCTTTTAAATTCCTAATCTAATAAGCTATTGGAATTTTCTTTTCTTAAAATTAATTTATCATCTTATTACACATGAGGTTTTAGGACCAAAAAAATAAATAAATGCGTATATGATAACTTGCATAACTTAAATAGGGTTGTGAAAAGTACAAGATAAAAGTGGTGATTAGCCACATATGTACATGATTAAAATTGTAATTTTTTTTCCATCAAGATTTGGATTTGGGAATTGGAGTTTGATAGTAGTAATGATTTGAATTAAATAAATATTTGATATGATATAAAATGCATATGATAATATATATATATGTATCTAATTTGATGGTTATAAAAAAAAAAAAAAATGATCAATAATACGATATCCAAAACCAAATCTTAAATAAACACAATTAACTCTCATGTGTTTCTTTAAGGTTTAGATTAGATTTGTGTTTCTTTACCCAAAATTTTTCAAAATATATTATTTTGACTATGCATTTTTCGAAAAAAAAAAAAAATTATATATATACATTTTCTAACATCACAAAATATCTCATCGAATATTATTTATATATATAGAATTGAAATAGTATTTGATTTAATATAAAATATTGTTATTATTTTGTTTGATGATTTTAGGGAAAATATATTTTATAAATATTGCGAGACTAAAACCAAACTTTAACCGAACAAAACCATATGTATTTTTAGGTGGGACTTGTATATATATATATATATATCGAATTTGATGGTTTTAAAACAGAAAAATGATCAATAATACGATTTCAAAACCAAATCTAAATAAACACAGTCAATTTTTATGTGTTTCATTATTTAAGATTTAAATTAGATTTGTGTTTCTTTACCCAAAATTTTTCAAAAATTATTATTTAGATTTTACATTTTTTTGAAAAAAAAAATATACATTTTCTAATATCACAAAATATCCCATCGACTATTATTTATATATATATTGAATTGAAATAGTATTTGATTTAATATAAAATATTATTATTATTTTGTTTGATGATTTTAGGGAAAATATTTTTTATAATTATTGCGAGACTAAAACCAAACCTTAAGCGAACAAAACCTTATGTATTTTTAGGTAGGAGTTGCTCGTATGAAAATTGAACTAATACTTACCCAGTTTGTGAACCAAGATAAACCATATCTTCTAGGTTTTTGGGTTACAAGCCATATTATGCAGGGAAGCTGAAATATAAAATAAAAAAAAATAAAAAACATGTAAATTCATATGTTTATCGATCAATTATTCATTTCTATTTTGCGCCAAGACAAGCAATATCATTCAAACATTGAAGAGAGATGACTTACAAAGTATGTGGTCGGTGCAAATGCAAATCCTCCAAAAAACCCTAGAAGCCCATCAAAGAAAGGGAAGGACAAGGCGACCAACATGGTGAAAGCTGAAAGCAATAAAATGTGTTAGTCGAAAATTCGGGTTTGTTCACTTAGTATTCGCTACAAAAAAGTTGAACCTTAGCTACGAAAAATTTTTGTAGCAAAAGGTAATAATTCATAGCAAAACTATTTTTGCGACGAAATTCATTTTGTCGCCTAGACCGCGTTAGTGAAGGTCTTTGGCGACAAATATAATTTTCGTAACAAATAGTAAGTTTTGTGCGATGAAAGTTAAGAAAAGAGATATTGTTACGAAAATATGATTTCGTAGTTAAAACTCTTTTGCTACAAAACTAAAATTGATAAGAAAAAAGCTTTACTAACAAGATATGTATGATTCTTTTAGCTAGCCAAATGGTTTTAGCTATGGAGAAGAGTTTTGTAGCTAAAACTTTTTTGCTATGAAGATAGAATTTTCTAGCAAAAAAGTTTTAGCGTCGAAATTAATTTTGTAGTACTTTATTTTTAGCGATGACATTAATTTTTATTGCTAAATGACACGTTTTAACTACAAAAGTATTTTGTAGTTAAAAATATTGTAGCTAATTAGATATTTTTTTGTAGGAATTTTTATGTGATACGATTTTTTATAGATATTAATAGAAAATAATATATACACTTATTAACACAATACATATAATAAATATATTTTATCTACTCACAAAAAATTAATAGTTAAATATAAAATATTATTTGTTATATTACTAACGAAACTCCACATACCTAACATAAAAAATAAAAAATAAAAAATAAAAACCACATCCTTCAATTCTAATGATGACAAAAGTTAGAAATATTGATGAATTTAATTGATTTAGTGTCAAAAAACAATCTAAAGCTATTATTGTGTTTAAGAAATTCGATGTTAAATGCGACTAGAAACTTAACAAAGAATGATCGACCCTAACAACAGTGACAAAAATCTTATTACATACCGACATATGTATTCCGGGCAAGAAAACGGAGATACCAACTCGGCTTGAACTTTAATTTCTTCACAAGCACAACTTCCATCATGTCATAAACCGGCATTGCGTAGATCTACAAAAACTCACAAACCAAATTACAAATCAAATTACACATGAGAAATGTCCGTATATATGTATATAGGAAAATTGCATTTTTAATTACGTACCTAGGTCAATTATCACTTTTATTTAATGTATTTCCTTGATAATATTTTGGTCATTGAACTTTGCAAAAACTTAATTTTCTTATTTTTAAGAAAAAATAATTTTTGGAAATTAGCAAGTGAGAATTCAAGACAAAAAAATTATTCCCTGCCGCCACAGATGACTCTTTTTCTTTTTGTCCGTCCATAAAAGATACTATTTTCTATTTTTATTAAATTTATTCCTCTTAAACATACTCAACAAATATAAATAAATTTAATTATATTTTTAACTTCTTACCACCACTCAAAACCCTTATTTCTATCTCTCTTCTCGATAAACAAATACTACATATATTTTAAAGATATAATCCTAAAATATTTAAAATACCAACAACACTGCTCGTATAAAAATAATAAACTAATATTGTAGCTTAATAACTTACTAGACACTTCTAAAATACTGTATCCCTAACCAAAGGGTTCAATCCTTGCCGGGACGGATAGAGTTTTTTTTGCAAGGTAGTGTTTTAAGAGGAAGTATAAGAAAATTAATTTTTCGTAAAGTACAAAACTAAAACACAACCGATAAAAATATATGAAACATAAGTGATAATCAACTATAAGTACATGACAAAATTTTCAAAACTTTCCGTATATGTTTACCTGATAACTCCCGACGAGATGGATCACGACAAACAAGTTAGCCATGGCAATAAGCCAGGTTGGTTTGTTTAACGTGACGAGAATAATTTCATCAACCGAGTTGCCAAATATCCAATATCCAATAAAAGCAACGGGGAAATAACAAAAGGCGACGATCACATAAGCAGCAATCACTCCTTTCCACATTGGTTTTTTCGAAGGAGATTGAGGTGTCGAAGGCATGGCAGATTGTATCTCCAACACTACATTGTGGCCTGAGTAGGCAAATGCAATGCTTCCCAATGCACTGAAAAAGGTAAAAATAGTGTCGACTTTGTTCTTCGATTTATAGCCATATTGCACGTTTGGTTGCACGCCCTTGTGAACCGATGCTGCCCATGCTATTGTCGAATAACTTCATAACATCATTTAAATGATAATATTAGACATGCTTATATATATGTAATAACACCCTAATTTCAAGAATTGTTAGTTACAATCATATTCATGATTATAAAATAAAAAATAAAATCATAACATCCTACAACTTTATCGATAATATAGAGTTATTGATTCAGTGTCGGCTCTGGGCACGGGCTATCTGGGCCTACACCAAAGCCTAAGATTTTTTGGGCCTTTGGAGGCTTTATTTTTTTATTCAAAAAATATATATAATAAATATTATAAATATATGTATAATATTGAGATATTTATGTTAAAAGTTGTTTGATTATATTCTAATTTGAGTTTTAAATTTAAATATATATTCATATACTCCTATAAAAATAGTAAAAATAGAAATTTTTATTTTTTTGGATAAAAGAAAAATTAAAAAAGCGGTATTTTATTATTAAAAAAAAACAAGAATATGACAATAAAAAAAATAGAATAGATTTGGAAGACGGATTTTTAATTTGTGGTCACACAAACTCAAAATATATTTAAAAATAATTTTAAAAAGTATCATTAATATATAATTAAATAATTAAATAAAAATCCTATTTTTTTAAAAAAAATTTGTTCGGGGCCTATCAAAACTTTGAAATTCACGTTATTGGTTGTGTCGGGTACTCTCTATTAAGTCTAGACTACAGGAGTAAGGAGGTTTGATGCAACAATTTTGAAAAACATGAAAAGATGTCACGCAATTTTTAAACCAGATGAGAGAATTACGCAGAGTTTTCAAACTATTGGTGAGTTATGAGCAATCTCGTCATATATGTTTGTTAGTAAATATAAATAGTTTTTACAATAATCAATTAGCGCGAATACCTGATCGACATTATTGTTGCAGCAAGCGACACCCCGGAAATTGAGTTGAAGTTTGGAAGTTGGGAGAGCGCAAAGTGGACGGAAGCGAAGATTGTGATGAAATGTGTAAGCTTGAGATGTTTGTTTTCTCCGGTTAGCAAATCATGAAACTTTTTGAGTGAACTTCCTCCGGAAATCATATAAACTATATCTACTCCGACTATAACCATTATTTGTTGAGGAACTACTATCCACAAGCCAAGTTTTTCACCAAATGCGTATTGCCCGAGCTCATGATATCTATCAAAACGCTTTCCCTCAATCGTTTCATGCATCTCGACCATTTGCCACAATGTGTAGAGAGTTATGATCCAAGAGAGGGTGATCGCGGTTACCCCTGGACCCCTACAAAAAGATATACGTAAATATTTTATCGCCATACAAAAAAGATTAAATGTGACCTTAAATAACTTCATACATAAATATTTTATCACTGTTAAAAATATTTATACACTTCCTCCGTCATCGATATTTATGTCCATTTGATCGGACACAGGTTTTAAAAAAATTGGTAAAAATAATTTTTTTTTCTTTTATAGTAAAGAAAAGTAAAAAAGTGGTACTCTATCCGTTCCAAAATAATGGTCTTATTTTGCTATTTTCATTCGTCTATTTTCGGTAACTACCTCTCCACATTTTACAAAACTATCTCCAAATTTTTCACAATAATTACATAAAGTAGGGTATTTTAGTCTTTTAAAAACACTTTTACACCCACTATCAATATATTACTATTATTTATTAATTTTCGTGTCCATCTCAAATGTCTCTATTGTTTTGAAACGAATATAGTATTTTTTATTTTGAAAATTGATAATAGTATTTTTTTTTAAGACAATAAAAAAATTAATATAAATTTAGAGGACAGATGAAGTATATATATATTATGATGTGAGAACCGCAGTCAGTACCCGAAAATGCGCATTGAGTAAACCCCCGGCCAAACCTGTAAAATATATATTTTGGTTCACAAGAATTCTATCAATGACCCCCTGAAACTTTTGGTTTTATTCCATGCATATTAATTTAACAATACCTCTAAGTATTAGATTTATTAAATTATTGAAAATTTATAGAATGATTGATTGATTATTAAACCATATCATATATTGAAGATTGTTATATTGATGCTATTAATTATTTTATAATAAAATATTTTTCTAAAAAATACTTATATATTTGCTTTTATAGATTTACAGTAGCCTTTTATTTTTTGCTTAGCTTAATAGCAGTCAAACTACATATAAAAATAAATTAAAATAATTAAGATAAGTAAGGTTTCAATTAATTATTTTATAAATGCTGATGCTATCCTATAAGAAATATTCAACTTGTATTAAGTTATTCTAGATTGATAGTGATACTTTTATGGTTTGATTCCCAGTCTATACCTCTATTGAATGATTTTGAAAATAAATTACTTCTAAAAATATAAATTTTCGGACGGTGTAAATTCTAAAGTCAAATGTTCGATAGACTGTAAATTATATCAACGGATAAAACCATCCAAAGCAAGTCTTTGGTGATAGGCTCGACCGAGAAGAAATTGGTAAAATTCGAACCCATAATGTTTTACTCACCAATTAGGACACGACACCAACTCGATCATTCCTTATGTGAAAAAAAAAGGGAAATTTTAAAAGTATGTTAGTTAGGGCGTCGTACGTTATATATATATATATAGTGACAACTTCAGCACTGTATTGAACAACACATCATCTATATTAATATAATATAAATAAAACATATATGAACTAACATCACAACTAACATCACATGATATAGATTCAGACAACACAAGAATAGTTGATTTTAGTACATGACATGCTCTTATGCAGCACACAGGCTATAATTATGAATAAATATCACATGTCTTTATTACAAATAACATATGTTGTGTGTAATAAAGACATATGTTGTTTTTTATATTTTGTGTGTTGTAACCCATTCTCATATATACATATATATATATATATATATCACATTTTAATACTATTTGTAACAAAATTCTTTTTTCTAAAAATATATATATTCATTCAACACTCACTATAAAAAAAAAAAAAAAAAAAAAAAAAAATATTATATTTGTAACAGAATTTTATCCTTAAAGTTCACGTAACTAACGCAATTTCATATCTAATTCCGTCTCTAATATCATTAGTAACGAAAAAAATGAATTTAGAAACGAAAAAACCTCGTTACAAAAATAATATTTTCTAGTAGTGACTTAGGTTTAAGATATAATTTCTACTCACTATATCACTTGAAATACTTATTTAAATCTCTTATAAAAATTATTTAAATTTAAATTGTTACTATTATTAAAACATCCAAATAAAGCCCTTGTCATTTCGAAAAGTGCATATAATAGCCTTCTATTATATCGATCATTTTCTCAAGTAGACAATAATTCTATATTTATCTCCAATATTTCTTACCATCCTAATTCAGTCATCGAGTAAGGGAAACATAGAACTCCGGCTCCGACCATGGCCGTAACATTGTGGAAAGCCGAGTACCACCACTTTGCATTCCTCGTCGAAGAATTAATCGCAATCCAATTATCTTTCTCAATCTCCTCCTCGTATCTCTCATTTTCCTAAAAGATCAAAAATATAATTTATATTGTTATGATTATGTATAAATATATTCAAAAATGAATATACTATTTAAACATATACAGAAAATAATTGGAAAGCAATTATACTTGATGTTCAGTTTACTAAAGCAATATTTTTCAGTTTTTTTTTTTTTTTTTTTTTTTTTTTTTTTTTTTTTTATAGTACAATGTTATTAATTTTCTTGAAAAATATTATTTACTTAAAATATATTATATTCAAATCATTATTTAAATAAAACTTAAAATCCAAAAAAAAAAAAAAAAAACACTACCTAAGAAATCGTAAGGACGAACAAATTACATAAGGTAAGGTATTTTGTGTTTGGATGCTTTATAACATTTTGGATTTATGTATTTATTTATTTAATAAAAAAAAATATATGTTTCGAATGTGTTTGGATGCTTTATAACATTTTGGATTGATTGATTGATTTATTTACTAAAAAATATGTTTCGAATGTGTTTTTTAAATATATGTATATATATAACATTTTTTTTTTTTACTGAAACAAAAAAGAAAATTAGCATATTCTTTTACGACAGATAAATAAGAAAATAAACTTTTGAATAGTTTGCTTTCTAAAAAATTTGATGTGTGTGTATGTAGTGATCGAGCTTACATCTTCGGATCCGAAGTGGTTTTTGTTCGAAGGAACTATGATTTCCATTATCTTGTACAGATAAAAGCCACAGGAGATTGAATCTTCGACAAATTTACAAGAGCTGAAAGAAAAAAAAAATTGAGAAATCTCCGCGTATATATAAAAACCCACAATGTTGAATAAGACTTGAGTGAATTTCAAACATTATCGTTTGGAATATATATAGCAACAACATTGAAAAATAAAGGCATTGTACATCTGTTTTTTTGTTTTTTTATTTAAAATATCACATCAGGACCGATGAGAATTGCATTTTCTTGATTGCATTTTCCAAGAAGATTACAAAAACTTATCAACATTTATAAATTATTATTATTATTTTATATATATATATATGTATATATTAACAATTGACGAAGACTTTAAACAAGAATATTATTTGTGGAGCCTTGTTATTTAATGCAATGAAAAGGAATGTGATGGTTAGCTATGTACTCTTGAAAGTGATATTTAAGTTTTATACATTATTGACTAAAGTGTTTGTTTGTGTCTTAGTTATATATATATTTTTTTTTGATTAAATATTATCATTCAATATTTATGATTTCTTTGTAAAAATACATTATTTTTTAATATTAATTTGGGTTGGGTTCGATCTAGGTTTGATTTTTTCTTTTAATATTAATTTGGATGTGAGATTTTATACATGAGAATAATATATTACTCCCTCCGTTCCAAATAAGGTGCAATATTTGCTTTTAGCACGGGTTTTTAGGTAAGTAGTATTAAGTAGGATAATTTAGAAATGAGGTGATGTGATGGAGAGAGAAATATATATTTTATTTTTTTATTTGGATGATGTGAAGAAATAAAGTGTGGAGTAGAGATTAAGTATAATTAATTATTTTCTATTTTGAAAATGTCGGCAGGGTGTTTGGGATATACCAAAGAAGAAATATTGCAGAGTGTTTGGTACGGATGTAGTATTTTTTTTTTTTTTTACAGAGAATTGATACACAGTGAAAAAAATAAACAATGTTCACTATTTTTATATTCTTTATACAATAATGTTTTTGTTTTGTGAGATTGTCGGAAAAAAAAAAAAAAAATTGTGTGAATAATAGAAACTTGTATAGGAAATATAAAAAAATAATGAATGTGTATATAATGTCTAGTTGTAGTGTTTTGAATCAAAATATGTGAAATAAATGTTAGAATTACCATTTTGTATGAAAATTAGATATTGAATACTCTCTCCGTCCATTTTAAAAGTATGCATTTATTTTTTGCATGAAATTTAATATATAATAGTATTTTAATTATAATTTATAGTTAAAAGTAGTTAAAGACAATCTTCTTTTCTTTTTTTTTTTAAAAAAAAATAATAATGTGATGGTAATAAAAAAGGTACTTGTAGAAAAAATTGAAATCTATAGTTACTAAAAAGAAATTAATTATTTTGTAATAAAACAATTCAAAATTAAAATATATATACTCTGTGAATTGACTGATCGAATATAATATTTAAAAAGAAAAAATATTTTAATATTTGGTCATTTAAACAGAAAACAAACACAAGACAATTTTTAATAGGATGACTAATTCAATCAAATAATTTTTCATTTGATTTATATTAGTATAATTTTATTTGCTTTGTGTTCTTTTTTTTTTTTTGGCAATTAGTTGTACTTGATTCAAATAGTTGACTTGATTAGCTAATAGTATATTTCCATCGTCCCAAAAGTATAGTTTTATTGCGTTGGACATGATATTTAAGTAATATTGATATTATATTGGTAGTTGGTTAAAAAGTAAGGATAAATGACTTTTTTACCTTTTGAGTATATTAGTGTAAAAAGTAGTGACAATTGTGTAATAATAATAAAAAAGTAGGGATAGTTTTATGGTGATATGGTTATTTATGGAAATGAGACTATTGTTTTATGACGGAAAAAATGGTGAACAAGACTATTATTTTAGGACGGATGGAGTATTAGTTATATGTGCTAGAGTGATGCATAAAATAATTATTTGGTATTAGTTGTTTATACCTAAAATGTGATATTTTATATTCATCCGTCAAATTTATTTATTTTATTACTATATTTGGAAAAGTAAATACCATTAACTTTATTACATTTTCCTTTTTTATTCTCTTTCATTACTAACTAAATTTTAAAAATACTCTCAATTATGTTTTTACTTTTTCAACTTTTAAATAAAATATTCATTTTTCTTAATCGTTGTGTCGAGTCCAAATAAACTAAATATTATAAATATTTGATTGCGTTTTTTTGTTGTATAAGATTTTAGAAAATTTTTAAGTTTGTTTACCCAATCAAAAAATTTGAAAATATTTTCAATTAATATTATAAAAAATATAATATATTCATATATTTACCTAACATTTAAAAATATATTTCATTCAAAATAAAGTATTCATTTTTTATTACTGACTTCTCCATTCTAATGTAAATAATAATAATAAAACAATAATAATAACAATAATAATATTTAAATAAATCTTAAATAAATATATCATTTTAAATTAATTTAAACCAATTAATTATCATGAATTGTAAAAGCATTATTAAAATATTTATCATTAAATTTTCTAGATATTTTATGATAAAAAAAAAATATTTTTATTAAAAAAATAAGTAATTTTTTATTAAAAATAATATAAAATATAAAAGAATAAATTCCCCATGTGTCTATATATTTTAATTATATTAATTATTTATTAATTTATTATTTCATTGTAGTTATAATTTTCGATAACTGTTTTTTATTTTCTTATTTTTAATATAAAAGTTATACAATAAAAAATTATATATAAAATAAATTAATAATATTTGTAATTTTCATACCCAGCAGGAATTTCATTCAACACATGCACACATGCACCCAACTCTCAAGCGAGAAATATCTCACCACTTAAACTTATATATTAGAGACAAAATTATGATGAAATTATTAGAGACGAAATTATGATAAAATTACATTTGCTACGTATAATTTAGGTACGAAATTCCGTTAGTAATGATATTAGAGATGAAATTAGAGACGAAATTATGATGAAATTACATTTGCTACGTAAGCTTTAGGTACAAAATTCCGTTACAAAGATACTATTTTTTTTTTCTGTAGTATTATCGGGTCTAATGTTTTTTGGAATAACACTGTACACTCAACTCCATTTTTGGAGTAGAGTTTGTGTGATGTTTTTGTGGTGTTTGTTTATTTTTGTTATTTTTTGGAGCATATTGTATAATTTTATTTCTTAGAAAAATGAGATGTAATTATATTTTTTAAAAAAATAATGTATAATTTTATCTTTTGGAAAGTGATATACAATTTTATCTTTCGAAAAGTGATATATAATGTTAATGACATATATGGGCAGTGGCGGAACTAGAATATTAATAGAGAGGGGGCAAAATCTTTTAATTTACAAAATAATTTTTTAATTTGTATATTATACTATTATCATCCACTTAATAATTTTATATTTATTTTTTGTATATTAATATTAAATATTAATTATTACATCAAATATAGTCCAAATAAAAAAAATAATCTTTTTTATTAGTAAATATTGATATATTATATTTTGGAAAAAATAAAACTAATGCACTTTTTTATTTAAAAAAATTAACACTTTCATGTTTTTATTATTTTTTTTATTTATTTTAAAAATTTTCTATAGATTATATATATATATATATTATTCTTTTAAAAATAAAAAGATTTAATAAAATAGAATAAAAATAGAGTTGGGGTGGGGCAAGGTGAGCTGCAGCCCACCTTTGCCCCTTAATAGGGGTCCGCCCACTGTATATGAGTTACATTGTAAAAATAAATTAAAATTGTAGTGTAATTTATAAATATAAAAAGTTATATAAAAAAAATAATATATAAATAATATACTTTTTAAAGTGAAAAATGAAATTTATGGTTAAAATAAAATTACTTTAGATCAACCATTTTTCCCGTAGCTATTGAAAAATAAACTAATGCCTTGAAGATGGTCTTATAGGAAAACTGAAGGATTTCAGCTAAGATGAAAAATTCAAGCAATCTTATAATTTGAAAAGGGATTGACGTTAAAAGTGGATATTTTAATATATTGAATCAATATTATGATAGTATAAAATAATATAGTAAATAGTGGGGGCCACTGGGAAAAATTAATATATGAATATATGTTATGACACGTCATTTTATTAATACGTTTCATTCGTTTACAATATATATATCTTATGACAGGTAATGAAGTTGATGACTAAACAATTTTTATATTGCTTATAAAGAGCCATTACATTGAGGGTGTGTTTGTTTGAGGGTTTGGATTTTGAGTTGGAATTTGAATAGTAAAAATTTTGAATTTGAATAGTTGTATGATATGATATAAATAGGGTTTGATGTGATGTTTTGAATGTAAAATTGATTTTTAGTATAATATAAAAAATGAAAAATAGGTGTTTGATTTGATATTTTTGGGGGAAAAAAATTGGATTAATAGTGAAAATCCACCAAAATCCTTCAAACAAACACACCCTCAATGAATTTAGATGGATTTGATGGCATACGATTGCAACGTATTGAATGTATTCTTTCTCTCTCTAAATTACAAATACATATCTATATATATATATATATGTGTGTTCTTATATGTTTATTACATATACATATATATAAATATCTTGATTTGCCAAAGCATCTACACGGTCCATATATATATATATATACACACACTTGTATTTATTTATTTAGCTCTCTACTTATTTATATTTATTTTATATATTTTATAACACGTTATCAGCACGAAGTTTTGTCGATGAAGTGTTAATGTAAAGAAGCGTATGTTTTATGACTTTTTAGTTACTCAAACAGGATTTTGTTCGAAGAAAAAAAATATCTCTACGTTCTGCTCGGATACATAAGAAAATATCAAAGTGCTGCTGAAATTCTGCCAAAATTTTGAAATATTTATTAAATTAAATTTTTCAATACAATTATTACTAACATAAATTTATAATTTTTCCATGAGCTATTATAAAAAAAAAAAAAGAAAGACCCGATTATACCAAAATTTAATAAATAAATTTATCTGAAAATATGCGAGTGATGGTGATATTTTTATTAGCACACAAAGATATATGTGATTTTTTTATGTACCTAGAAGGTAC